CAAAGGGACACCCCGCTGCTCCCAGAAGCATGGACCGCCCTCTCCGCGGGGTCCTCCCCGCCCCCCAGCTCCCAGCCCTCAGCGCCCTTCGGAAGCAGCAGGGGGAAGCAGGTCTCAGCTCCACCCTGCTGCCCGTGTAAGTGGCTCCACGTGAGGCACCGTGCTCTCTGCTCCCTCACACCTGCTGCTGGCGGCCAGACCGGAGAGCCGCAGAGGGGTCAGTCCCGCAAGCCCGTGGCCTCCGGGCCGGCTCTCCACGGAGAGGAAGGAGAGGGGCCGAGGCTGCCGGGCTGGGGGCACTGGGGTGTCTGGAGGCCCAGGGCAGGGGCACCCCTCCTTCCTCTCCTCCCACCTGGGCTTTGCACCCGGCGAAGTGGGGGCCTTAGCCACGGCGACCCAGAGCCGCTCCTGGTGAGGCTGAAGAGACACTCGGATGCCTCTCAGGTCAGGCAGGGCCCAGAGGGGTCCCCAGACCTCCCCGGGGGACTGAGCACGCGGGTTGGTGGCGCAGAGAAGGGAAGAGGTGAGAAGCCAGCAGGCCCTGGTGGCGCGTACAGCGTGGCCCCAGCAGGAGGCCCTCCCCAGGCTGAGGGCCGCGCCCGGAGGTTTCGCTGGCCGTCAGGGGCCAGGCCGGGGCCAGGCCGCCCGTGGAGCCGGCCACACGGCGACAAGGGGCCACGAAGGGCTGTCCTCTGTGAACTGGAGCCACGGAGGAGCCACGGCCACGGCTGAAGGGCCCGCCTGAGGCAGAGCAAGAGGGAGGGACGCCCGATCTCCGGTCTTCGCCCTTCCCGTGCCCAGTTCCCCGCCGGCTTCTCCCAGAGACAGCCGGGCGCCGGGGCCGGAGCCTGGAAATGGGCTTCCTGTGGCCAGAGAACAATGGGAGGCGGAGGCCTGGGAGCGGACGGCGGGCAGATCTCCCAGCCAAGGTCAGGACAAGCCGGAAACCGAGGTCGCAGCGCATCTGGGCTGATCCCCAATGCGGACACCCCCGGGGAGGGACCCCTCTGAGGGAGCGAGAGCGGAGAGCCGGCCTCCCTCTGCGCTCTCTGGTCCGGGCACTGCCCACACACAGGTGGTTCCCACGGCCCCCGAGGCCCTGCCCTCCCAGCCCCACCGCTCTGGATCGCTGTGTTTTCCGTGCGTGCGTGTGCGTGTGCGTGTGCGTGTGTTTAAAGAAACTATCTCCAGGAGAGAGGAAGGAGGAGGAGGAAGGACTTCCTGAGGCTGGTGGCAGAGCGCTCTCCCCGCACGGCCTGCGCAGCCAGAGCAAGAAGAGGGTTGGTGCTGACAGCGCCCTGACCCTGAGCGCCCCCCAAAGGAGGCCGCTGGTTACGCACCAGGAGTCCCGCCCTCAGCCTTGGCCTTTCATTCTCCAAGTTCCCTTTTAATATATTTACTGACTGCAGAAGGGAAGGAAGGCAGAGAAATGTCCATGATGAGAGTCACTGATGGGCTGCCTCCCGCTCACCCCCTCCTGGGGATCCAGCCCACAACCTGGGCTCACGGCCTGTCTGGGAATCGAACTCCGACCTCCCGGTTCCTAGGTTGATGCTAGGTCGACGTTCAACCCCTGAGCCACAGCGGCCAGGCTCACCCTCCACACTTCTTGCCGAGGTATCTCCCGGCCTCCCCTTCGGGCTCTGACTCCGTTCGACGGAGGGGAGAGTGGAGCAGCGTGGAGGGGGGCAGCCGCCCCGAGCGCCCCGAATGCTGACTCCGCGCGAAGCCAGCTGGTCCGAGCATCGTCCATCACCACGAGCCTCAGATTGGATTCAGAGGAGCCCTGGCCAGCGCTGACCTCCTCTCGTGAGGTCCCGCGGGGATCGGATGGTGGTGAGACGGATGGAAAAGGCGAGTCCGGGGAGAACACGGACAAGGAAGCCATGTCCCCTGAGCAGCTGCTGGCCCGGGCGCCGCCTCTGTGGGCCTGTCCTCACCCCGCAGCCTCGGCCCCCCCAGAAGGCAAGGGGCCCCCCCATAGGGCGGCCGGCAGCTCCCATGGAGAGTCTTGTAGACGTAGGTGCAGACCACTTTCTTGTGTCCCTGTTTTTCTTTTTTTAATCCCCATCTGAGGATATTTTTCCAATGATTTTTATTTTTAATAAATATTTTATTGATTTTCCACAGAGAGGAAGGGAGAGGGATAGAGAGCTAGAAACATCGATGAGAGAGATACATCGACCAGCTGCCTCCTGCACACCCCCTACTGGGGATGTGCCCGCAACCAAGGTACATGCCCTTGGCCGGGATCGAACCTGGGACCCTTCAGTCCGCAGGCCGACGCTCTATCCACTGAGCCACACCGGTTTCGGCGTCCATCGATCTTTAGAGAGGGGAAGAGAGAAACATCGATGTGAGAGAGACACACCGATGGGCTGCCTCCTGCACCAGTACATGTGCCCTTGACGGGAATCGAACCTGGGGCCCTTTGGTCTACAGGCTGACACTCTGTCCTCTGAGCCGCACGGGCCAGGGCTGGGCCCCGAGGGCGAGGATGCGGGCAGGGCCGGGCAGGCGGCCTCGGGAGCTGGGGAAGCCCTCCTGCCGACCGCGATGCCTGCTGTCTCCTGGCAACTGCTGGTGGCGCCGCGGGCCGGGCTGCCAGAGGGCGGCGGATCCCGTTTCAGAGCCTCGGCCTCCGGAAGGCTCCCCGTTCCCTGCCAACGGGTGTCCCTGAGCCCCAGGGCGGCCTTGCCACGCAGGGGGACCTGCCCCTTCGGCAGGCCAGGGCACGGGCGTGGGGGCGGGGGAGAGAGGGGGGAGGAAGCGGGGGGGGGTGCTCCCCGAGGCCGCGTTGCCAGGCGCCGGTGTCAGGCCCGGCCTCCTGGCTTCCTGTCCACCAGGGGCCGGCAGGTGCCAGGGCTCGGTGTCGGGATGACCTCAGCGCTGTGGCTGTCGCTGGCAGGCGGCTGCCAGACTCCCAGGCCCCGCGGCACCTGTCGCCTGGCTGACGCCGCCCTCCCCGCCTCGGCCGTTCTGGGAGAAACAGGGTCCCTGGTGCCGCCTGGGGACCCCGGAGCCCTCTGCGGCCTGTACCCCACTTCCCGCCCCAGAGGTCGGGGAGAGGAGCATTACTCACAGCAGAGAAGAACCGGGCCAGGAAGGTTATTCGTTTCCGGCCAGCGGGGCTCAGGGGTTGAGAGTCACCCTAGGAACCAGGGGGTCCCAGGTTCAATTCCCAGTCAGGGCCCGGCCGGGTTGTGGGCTCGATCCCAGTGTGGGGCGTGCAGGAGGCAGCCAGTTCGTGATTCTCTCTCAGCATGGATGTCTCTCTCCCCCTCTTCTCTGAAGTCAGTAAAGGTGTTTTTAAGGGGGGGCTGTGATCCCTCCGGAGCCAGGAAGCTGGGCCACTGGGAGGGACCCCCGAGGCCCTGGGCTGCCTGGGGGTCCTGTGGGAAGAGCTGATCCCAGGGCCCTGGCTGGGGGCCCCTCCGCCCCGTTTCTGGGCAAACCCCCGCTTGTCCTGCCTCAGTTTCCCCAGTGACTGCCCCAGAACCCTAGGGGTCGGAGGATTGAACTTGAGCCCCCGGGGACCGGGAGGTGCGGCATGAGCTCGCTCTGCGGCTCGGACGGGTCGGGCTGTCTGCAGTGGTTGGAAAACAGGTTTTAAACACAAAAATGAACGAGACTTGATGGATTCAGAAAGGCTGGGGGTGGTGCTTCCGGCTGCGGTTTAACAGGCTCGTAACTGAGCTCTCCTGGGCCCCCAGTCCCCGCGCCTTCCTTCCCTGCCCGCGCCCGGGAAAGGGGTAGGCAGAGCTCTTACAGCCAATACGTCACCCAAAGGTCAGGGGTCAGGCCGCGAGCTCCGCCCCTCCCAGGCGCACCCGGGCCGCTGCCCCTGACATCGGGTCCTTCTCTAACAGGAGACCCATCTGGGGTGGGGCCTCGAAGGTCGGTCCCGGGGAGACAGCCCAGACCTCCCGCACCTGCTGTGCCAGAGGCTCCCTCGGCGCCTGCCCCACAGCAGCAGCTGACCAGGCCCCACCAGCAGCGTGGAGGCGTCCAGAGAGGTGACGGGAGGACGGAGCCTCCGGGAGGCAGCGGGCAGGCCGCCCTGAGGGCTCCGGGGCAGGGAGATCCCGGGGCCCGGGGCCCTGCCCCGAGCAGCGGGGCACGGGCAGAGCAGACAGAGCCCGTTGGCGGTGGTTCAGAGAACAGCCACGACGCCAGGAATGAAGCGCTGGCAGGTCCCGGAAAGGCGAGGGGAGGCTGATGGGGACCAGGGGTAGGGGCGGCGGCCTCGCCCAGAGGCGGGCGGTGGGCGGTTCGGGAAACAGCCGGCGGCTTTTTGGCAAAGCTGACGGGCGCTCGTGGGGCGTGTGCCGTGGCTGAGGACTCCATCCCCCTCGCAGGCTGGAGGGGACGGAGTCAGGTCAGGACAGCGAGGCCTCTGCTGGCGGGCGAGCCGAGCCCGGACCGGGAGGCGGCCTGCCCACCGGGCGCCTGGGCGTGGCCACACGGGCAGAGCCCGGTGCCCAGGCTGAGGCTGGCAGAGCCAGGTCCCCTCTGCGGCAGGCACAAGGCGCCCTCTAGTGGCGCCGACACGTTACCGCTTACCGAGGACTCCGGCGGGGGAATCTGGGGAGCACACCCAGCTCCTGGGCGCGGGTTCGAGGGGCGGCCGAGGAGGGGGGAAGGGGCACACTCCGGGGGGGCGGACAGGACGGTCACCTCAAGAAACACGCTTCAGGAGGTCCGCTCCCCGAGGAGCAGCCTCTGTTTGTTTTGTTTCGTTTTGTTTTATTTAGAAAGGCTAACCGTATTCATTTGTCAATATTCTCAGCTTTCAGGAAAATAGTTTAAAAAACATAAAAATGTGGATACACGGAGTCACTGCTGGGAGGGCGGCGGGCGGAGGTCTCCCGGAGGGAGCGGCACTCGGATAGCAGCATCGTCACATAGAAAAGGGCGGGCGGGCGGGCGGGCCGAGGCCCGGGCTCTGTACACACGCCGGCGGCCGCCCCGGCCGGCGCCTTCACAGTGTGCGCGGCCGCTCAGTCCAGCACCAGGGCCGACAGTGCGTTCAGGTCCTTCATGTAGGGGTGCGCCCCCAGGACCTGGTCGATCTTCAGCCGCTGCTCCGCGTCCGGGAAGATCTTCATCAGCGCCTCCCGCAGCTCGCCGGTCTCGGCCGAGGACCGCTGGGCGGGCAGGGCCACGCTGGGCGGCAGGCCGGGCCCCAGGGGGAAGCGGGGCTGCGGGGGCAGCCAGTGGCCGGGCGGGGGGCCCTGCACCCGGGCGGGGGGCTGGTGGCCGGGGCCGGCGGCCTGGGCGCCGGGGCTGCCCCGGAAGCTGGGGTCGAACATGCCCACGGCCGGCAGGGCGGGGAGCAGGGGCTGCAGGACCCTGAGGAGGAAGCAGGCGGTGAGCTGGGTGAGGAGATGGACAGGAGACCCTGCTGCTGACCCCGAGCCCGCTGCCGCCCCCTGGCTGCCAACGGAGGGACTGTGGCCGGGCGGGATGTCCCGGTGCTGCCTCCAGACTTAGGGGGGACAGGGAGGCTGTGCTTCCAGAGCCACTCTGACCCGGCCGTGTCCCTCAGTGTCAGAGCCTTGACCTATGACCCAGGAGGTCAGGGTTCGATTCCTGGTCAGGGCACGATCCCCAATTGGGGGCATGCAGGAGGCAGCCGATCCATGATTCTCTCTCATCAGGATGCTTCTCTCCCTCCCCTTCCCCTCTGAAATCAATTAAAAAAAAAAAAAAGGTTTTTTAATTTAAAAGAGCCACTCCATCCACAGGTGAGGACGGACCGGCCCTCGGTCTGCGGTCTGGCTCGGCACCAGGCCCTGGCCCCCCGGGCGCGCCCAGCGGGCACTGCACAGAAGAGGGCCCACTTCCCCAGCCTCTGATTCTGGGGGGGGGGGGGGGGGGGGCCCTGGCGGACAGGCCTCAGCAGGGACTCCGACTCGTGTCGGCCCCTCTCCCCGGAGTCCGGGTGAGGCCTGGCGCCCACACGTGCGTGCACACCGGCGGGCGTTTAGCTGCCTCCTCCGTCGGCGGTGCGGGCCGCGGGAGGAGCTGGAGAGCATCCCTCCGGCAGCTGCACCGCGGCCGAGAGGACGGGAGGCCACAGAGAGGCGTCCACGGCCGCGGGTTCCAGCGGGGAGGCCAGGAAGGAGGTGAGCGGACGAGAGGGTGGCACGGGGCAGGGCGGGGGCGGGCGCGGGCGGAGAGGCAGGGCCTGTGGGTGCTACGTCCGCGTTCGTGCCATAACCATCGAGGGCTCCAGAGGAAGAAAGCCCCAGACCAGGGAGGGGGCGGGGCAGGGGTCCCCCTGTGTGTCACCCCCATGGCCATGCCGGGGGCCCCCCAGGGCCTCCTGTGAGTGGACATGAACCCGAACGCCTTCCTGCCGGAAGCACACACAGGTGCCGCCGTTTCAGAGCCTGGTCACAGGGTCTGCGCCAGGCACAGGGAACGCCGTGGTTAACGCCGTGAAAAGCCAGGAGCCAACCTGACTTGCAGGAGCCTGCGGCACCCGCTCAGACCCACAGGGAGCGCCTGGCTCCCCACCCTCCACGGAAGCGTGACTGAAAGGTGCCCTGGTCTGTGGCTCACTGGGCAGAGCGCCAGCCCGGGGACTGAAGGTCCCGGGTTCAGTGCTGGCCTAGGGCCTGGACCCGGGTTGCAGGCCCGATCCCCGGTGGGGACTCGTGTGGGGGCCAGCCCGTCGCTGCGTCCCCCTCACACGGATGTTTCTCTGTCTCTTCCCCTCCCTTCCGCGCTCTCTAAAAACTAATGGAAAAATATCCCCCGGTGAGGACTAACCCAAAACCCCAAAACCAAGGACCGCCGATGCAGATCTAGTCTCTGGGGGCCCCTGCTTGATGGTTCCACACAGACGAGACCCCACTAACGCTCAGCCTGTTACAAGGCGGAGAGCCAGGGCGGCTCCCGGGACGCGCACAAAGCCCGGAAGGAAACGCGACCGGGAGGAAATACCTCAGGGAGACTTCCTTCCGGAGGAACTCTTCCAGGTGCGGGCCGCTCCTCCCCAGGGGGTCGTCCGGAACCATGAATATGTCCCCCACGAAGGTGTACTGGAGCAGCCTGCAACAGAGGGGGGCTGGGCCGGGGCGCTCGGCACAAAGGCCCGGGCAGGGCACCTCCGCCCCAGGCTCAGGTGCCACGGCTCGGCTCCTCTGCTCACCAAGACCGAGGCCCGAGACCTCGGGTCGGCCTGAGCCCGGCCGGACCCCCTTCCCTCTCCCCGACCCGGCGAGGCAGGGCGGGCGCCCGACAGGGTTTACATCTGGGGAACGTGGGAGACTCTCGGGGTGTCATAAATCAGTGGTCGGCAAACTGTGGCTCGAGAGCCACATGCGGCTCTGTGGTCCCTGGAGTGTGGCTCTTCCACAGAACACCGCGGCCTGGGCGAGTCTGTGTTGAGGAAGTGGCGTTAGAAGTTTACGTTTGAAAAACGTGGCTCTCAAAGGAATTTCAGTCGTTGTGCTGTTGCTAGTTGGCTCTGTGGACGGATGAGTTTGCCGACCACAAGCCTAAATCTATCCCAGCTGAGAGCGGAGACGAGCAGGGAGCAGGGAGCAGGGAGCAGGGAGCAGGGCTGCGGGAGCTCACAGGGGCTCACGTTCCTGGATGTGCTGCTCGGGCTGCCTCCCTCGGCCAGGAAGCAGGGAACAGCCCTTCTCTGGGCACCTGCCCGACGGCCCCCTGCCCCCAGCAGGGCACATGCAAAACCCGCAGGCCCCTCCTCCCCAAACTGCACAGGGCGCTGGGCGCCCAGGACTGCGGCTCTTCTCCCGCCCTGCGGCCGGCGGCTCAGACCACGCCCAGAACCCCTCTCTGTGGGGGCTTATGGCCTCACAGCCTTTCCTTCCGCGATTTCAGTGTGAAAGCTTATCCACTGGCAAACCACTGGAAGCACCTTTAAAAAGCAAGTCCTGAGCCCTGGCTGGTGTGGCTCAGTGGACAGAGCACCAACCTGGGGACTGAAGGGGTCTGAGTTCGATTCCGGTCAGGGCACAGGCCTGGGTTTCGGGCTTGATCCCCAGGGGGGGGCGTGCAGGAGGCGGCCAATCAATGCTTCTCTCTCATCATTGATGTTTCTCTCTCTCTCCCTCTCCCTTCCCCTCTGAAATCGATAAAAATATTTTTTTAAAAAGGAAGATTTGACGCCAGGGCTGAGCTGTGTTGAATTTGTCAGCTTCTGAGAAGACAGAAGTGCCCGCGGTTGGACCGGGTTCGGGCCGGGTCTGTCTGTGACGTTGGGCCCTGGGGGCTCTGAGAGTGGCCGCTGGCGTGCACACTGGTCTCAGTGCGTTCAGGCCACATGGACATCACAGTCCGGGAAACGCCGGCAGCGGCCAGGGCCGGGACCCGGCAGGAACTAGTCCCCGGAGCTCAGGCTCGTGACCTGTGCCCGGAGGCCAGAGACCAGCTCCCAGCTCGCTGTCAGCAGCTGTCCAACCACACGGTCACAGGCAGGAGGCATTGGCTCTTACGGGTCTCGGCCCTAATGGCTCAAAACAGACACACGCGCCACGGAGGGGCGTGTGTGCGTGTGCGTGTGCGTGTGCGTGTGTGTGACAGGGAGCCCACTGAGGCGCCACCTGGTGGGTGTCGCGGGCAGCTGCAGGTGCACGCTGTGGGAGGACGGGCAGGGAGGCCGTTACCTCTTGGTAATGATTTCTCTCCAGGACACGGACTCGGTCACAAACTCTCTGAAGTTGTCATTGGTCACGATGATGCCGCCGGTTTTGTCTGCCAAGTGCAGCAGGAACCTGCGGGGACAGCACGGGGGCTCAGGCGGGCGGGCGGGCTCCCGCTCCCAGACGCTGAGCAGGAAACTCCGGCTTCCTCCCCACGGAAACCAGGGGCCGGGCCGGGCCCTCGCCCACCGAGGGCGCAGCTGGCTGGGCGCCGTCCCAAAGGTGCACCAGAAGGTTGCTGGTTTGATTCCCGGCCGGGCACAGGCCTGGGTTGCGGGCTGGACCCCCCCCCGGTGGGGGGCGCGTGCAGGAGGCAGCCGGCCCGTGACTCTCACCGTGGATGCTTCTCTCTCCCCCTCTCCCTTCCTTTCTCTGTAAAACGTCAACTTTAACCAGTTAACTGCCACGATATTCTGAATTTAATGAAACGGGTCTGCCGTTTGCATCTGTAGATGCTTATGATGTACAAATGGTTAAAGAAAAAAAAAAACCTTAAAAAAGAAAAGAGAGGCGAAGTTCAGAATGGCCTCAGCTCCCGGCGAGGAAGGAGGCGACGGGGAGGCAGGGCCGCTGGGCACCGGGAGGAAGGGCGGGAGGCAGGGCGAGGAGCGCCCACACGGACACGGGCTCCGGGTCACGGTGACACGTCACGCCTGAACCCCAGGGGACAGAGCGCCCATGTTCTGGGGCACCAACACCGGCTCAGCGCCGCTTCCTCCTGGACCCGTCAGCTTCCCCCAGAGGCCCGGCGGCAGGAAGGGAGGCAGCCCTTCATGCGTCTCTCACAGGGTGTGCTCCTCTCCCTCCTCCCTCTCAAAATCAACGGAAAATATATCCGGGGGGAGGGGGGAATCAGCAACAACAACAAACGGGGTCTGGGCGCAGGGAGCCGGAGCCGGGGCGCCCCCCAGAAAGCAGGCCCTCCTACCTGTCGTCGTGGGAGGCGATGCGCTCCCCGAAGACCATGCGGGCGGGGGTCAGCGACAGGATGCCCAGCTCCTGCAGCTGCGTCAGGAAGTGCTGCTCTGTTCAGGGGGGGAGCGTGGACACTCAGGCCGGGGCCCCCACGTATCCCCCGGCGGCCGCGCCCCAGAGCGGCCGCGTGCGGAGGTGGGAACCCTGCTGCTGACTGGGAGGCGCCGTGCCCTCACGGGAGGAAGACAAGGCCAGGGCCAGACGGAGGCGGGCTGTGAGGGTGACCTCATGCGCTTCCTAAAGGGGCGGGTGAACCACAGCCCGGGTGCGGGCCCTGCCACCGCAGCCGAGCTGGGCGAGGCCACAGCCCTGGGGGCGGACCCGCAGTGCCTGCTCCCGGCTCCCTCTAGGGCCCTGGTTCTCGCCTTCCTGACGCCGCGGCCCTGAACGCAGCTCCTCGTGGTGTGGTGACCCCCGACCGAAAAGCTATTTTCGTTGCTCTTTGTAACTGTCATTTTGCTCCTGTTATGAATCATAATGTAAATGTCTGTCTTCCGGCCGGCCGCGGCGCTCACCGCGACGTTGGGGTCGCGCCGGGTCCTCCCCTGCCCCCCAGAGCGGGGCCTGTCCCCCCGCCTTGCCCAGCGGGCCACGCCCCCCCACAGCAGCAGCCACGCCCCTGTCCTCCTCCCCCCCCCCCGCGGCGGCCCCCCCTCCCCGGCGGCGGCCATGCCGGGCCGCGCGCTCACCCGTGACGTTGGGGTCGCGCCGGGTCCTCCACTGCGGCACGAACACGGTGATGTTGCGGTTGCCCAGCTTCCAGAAGTACTCGACGGCGATGGCGATGCCGCGGCAGGAGAAGAACTTCTTCAGCCCGTGGCTGCGGGGACAGGGGCTGTGGGCGGCGGCCGGGCGGGCGTGCGGTCCGGCCCCCGGCAGCCCGCTCCCTGCCCTCCGCCCTCCGGCCCCGGCCCCGGCCCGCACTCTCTGAGTGTGGCCCAGCTGCCCCAAGAGCCGGGGACACATCGTCACCCGTGGCTCCCGGAGGCGGGACTTCCTGCTGGGGGGCGGGGGCGCCGTGCCCGTGGGGGGCCTGCAAAGCACACCCGCCTGCGGACAACTCCACAGACATGTGATGGGAGCGACTCAGAAACTCCGAGGCCACCAGGCGCCACGGCAGCCACGACCACAGCGCCGGCCGCGCTGGTGACGGATGAATAAGGCGGCAGCTGCCTGTCCAGAAGCACACGAGGCGGCAAGGAGGCAGCCAGGTGCCATTTGTTCCCGGGAAACAGGCTGCGGGCAGTTTTCATGGAAGCGGGACAGGCGGGGCTCAGGGGTTGAGCATTGGCCTAGGAGCCAGGAGGTCACCTTTTGATTCCCGGTTCGGTCCCCAGCAGAGGGCATGCATGCAGGAGGCAGCTGGTCCATGATTCTCTCTCATCACTGATGTTCTCTCTCTTTCTTTCTCCCTGAAATTAAAATTAAAAATCAAAAACAAGGAAAAATCTTCCCCATTGCTTATCAGTGGGAAGGCCAGAGCTGGTGGCCCCGCAGCCGAACACACACACTGCGTGGGCCGTGGTTCCACTCTGAGCCGCCAGGGGAGCCCCGAGGACACCGCGGGGAAAGGCCTGGCCGTCTGCAAGGGCCTCGAGCTCCCTCCGCAGGCCGGGGCTCGCCTTCCTGCTCCTGCTCCGGCTCCTGCTCCTCCAACGCCCCGGAGGGAGAGCCTCAGCCCCCGCGGGCAAGGGACACGCGGACACACAGAGGGGCCTGCTGCCCGGGCCCCTCACGCCAGTGGGGAAGCGGAGGCGGTCTGGAAGCACCAGCTCTGAGCTCATTTCCAAATGTCGCCTCAGGGCCGAGGTCATGCCCCCTGGGAACCTGAAACGGCTGGTGGGGAACAGACTTACGAAAACAGAACTCCAGAGAGAGTCTGTGTCCACCTTCCCGCCGCAGCCCCCCCGGGCACACGGTGCTGACCTCGCTGCCCCCGGCCCCGGCCAGCCCCCGAGCCTGGGACAGGCGCCTGGGCCAGCTGTCCACCCGACCGCCGAGAGGGATGCCGGGCTCACAGCGCCCCACGCAGAGGCAGTGGCCTGGCCGCGGGCAGGTGGCGGCTGGCGGGGAGGCCTAGCCTGGTGGCCACATCCCTGGGCCGGCTACCTGTCCTCCGTGGTCCCCACGATCGCAGGCGGGCAGCCAGGGGAAGTGTCCACGCAGAAAGAAGGTGGGGGACGGGGGATAAAGACGGAGGGCTAAGGCCCTGGCCAGTGTGATCAGTGGTTAGAGCATCAGCCTGCAGACTGAAGGGTCTCAGGCATTCCGGTCAGGTGCACGCACCTCCGATCCCCAACCCCCAGCCGGGCGTGTGGGAGGCAACCAATCAATGTGTCTCTCTCGCTGTCTCCCACCCCCTTCCACTTGCTCTCTTAAAAAAAAATCAACGGGAAAAACATCTTCAGGGATTTGGGGCGGGGGGGGGGGGTGGCAATGACCAAAAAACAACAACAGCGACAAAACCTGCCGCATCGGGGAGCGGCAGGGCCGCGGGGAAAGTGAAACCCCAAGGCCCCGCCAGCCACCTCCGCCCTCGGCTCTCCGGGCACGGCCCGCGGGCGGGCGCGGCAGCGAGGAAAGTCCTCGTGGGAGTCAGGTGCCGTCGGCGGGCCGGCCCCCCCGGCAGTGCCACGGCCCCCACGGGGACGCCCCACAGCCCTTTCCACTGAGTCATCGTCCGACTCAGCCCGGGACGCGGGGAAAAAACCAGGTACCGCTCTGTGTCAGCGGCGGCCGGAGGGCGCAGGAATTTCTCACGGTCCCAGGCCCTGCTGCCTAAGGGCCCATTTCCCTCTCGTCCGTCCCCCAGGGGCTGGGTTCGGGGGCGAGTGCGCCCAGCAGGCTCAGGCAGCTCACAGTGTGCACCGTGTGGCCCCGGCCCATCGCTGTGGGAAGGGCAGGGTGTCCGGAAGGGAAGCACCGTCTGCGCCTGCGTCTCAGACCTCGGACAAGGTTCCTGAGCCACGGTATGTCGTGTGAGTTCCAGGTAACGTTGGCACGAAGTTTGCTTTTTTGTTTGTTTTTTGTAAATATATTTTATAGATTTTTTTTACAGAGAAGAAGAGAGAGGAATAGAGAGTTAGAAACATCAATGAGAGAGAATCATAGACCAACTGCCTCCTGCACATCCCCCACCAGGGATGTGCCCGAAACCCAGGTACATGCCCTTGACCGGGATTGAACCCAGGATCTTTATGTCTGCAGGCCGATGCTCCATCCACTGAGCCAAACCGGTTTTGGCATCTTTTTTTTAAAATCAAACAAACTGGTTTTAGAGAGAGAGGAGAGGAAAGATAGAGATGAAGAAAGAGAAATTACCGTCCCACATATGTGTGCATGCATTAGTTGTTTCCTGTGTGTGCCCTGACCGGGGATTGAACCCACAACCTTGGCGTACCAGGACGATGCGCTAACCACTGAGCCACAGCAGCCAGGGCCGAGAAGTCTCATCGTTAACAACCTCCTCGTTCATCCATCCTTCCTGTTACCGAGTGTGAATGCCAGCCCCACTGACCTGGGGTCGTGCGGAAAACAGAACAGACAGGGCCACCTCTTCAGGGAACGGACAGGCCAGAGTTCACATTTCACGTTGAAGCAGTTAATTCAGAAAAAGGGTTCATCTCCTCCCACCTCTTAAAAAACTGAGAGATGAGATAAACAACCAGAAACAGTCCTTTGAGAGCGAACAATTCCGTGGTGTTAGGACACAGCCACCACGTCTATCCAAAACACTGCCATCGCTCCAAATACAGCCCTTCGCCCTGTGAGCAGCTCCTCTCCAGGAGGAGTTCCTTTTAATTACCGATATTTCAGATCAGTCTGCACCAAGCTGTAAGTCTGTCTTCCTTGTGAAGAAGGTGCTTTAAAGCTTGGACGGCTTGTGAATTCAGAGAAAATGGAAACCCTCCCCAAACAGGCGGCGTGTGGTTTCCCTCAGACACCCGCTCAGAGGTTTCGAGGGCAGGAGGGCACCCCAGCGCGTTCGGGAAACCCGGGGGAGTGTGCTGGGCTGTCACAGGACTGGGGGAGCGCGCTGGCCCCTGTGGGAGGGGCCAGAGATGCAAATTGCCCTGTCTTGGGTATACACACAGCTCCAAGCCCCAGCAGCCCCTCTGAGAGATGCACTACCACTCCAGGAAGCTTTTAAGGAAAGTGGCTGGTGTTGCTCAGTGGATAGAGCACTGGCCTGTGGACCGAAGGGTCCCAGGTTCGATTCTGGTAAACAGCACACGTCCGGGTTGCGGGCTCGGTCCCCAGTATGGGGCGTGCAGGAGGAGGCTGATCTATGCATTCCCTCTCATCACTGATGTTTCTGTCTCTCTTCCTCTCTCAGATCAATAGAAATACATTCTTTAAAAAAGTAATCATTTTATGTATGGGGGGGGCAACGGTATATGTACAAAGATAATAATTTAATTTAAAAAAAAAAGGAATCATTTAGAAGTCTGATCGCTGGGCAAAGCACTTCCATCATCTCCTGCCCCACACGCCAGGCTGCCGGTGGCCAGGTTAGAACCTACCAGATGGAACAGCAGGCCTTCCCCCAGCTCTCCCTGCGGGAGCTCAGGCCACCGGACACACACAGGACCGCCCCAGGGCATGCAGTCTGGGGTGCTGGGGGGGGGGGGGCGCCCTGGGAATCATGGCGGGCGCGGCCGCGGGGACTTACGTGATGGCGACGTTGCTCCCGTCAATGACGATGTGCTTCAGGTCCGTCCGGCCCGGCTCGTTCTTCAGCTCCAGCTTGTAGGGCACCTTCAGGGTGTCCCGGAACCGCTGTGCCCCCGTCACCGAGGAGTCCCCGTGGTCGGAGAGCCCGGCCCCGAGCCCCAGCGGCTGGCAGTTCGGCCTGGGCGGCGGGGAGCCCAGGCCGCCGGCCCGGCCCTCGCAGGCCGGCTTGAGATGGTTGGGGAGCGGGGCCTCCCCGTGCGGCTGCACCCCGTTCTCGGGGAAAACCGGGATCCTGGGCTGGTGGCCGGGCCCTCCCCTCGAAACGAAGCTGGGGCTGGAGGGGGCGACGGAGGTGGCGACGCCGTCGACGTCCGGGTCCGCGTTCCCGGCGAAGTTGGGGTGCGGCCCCCAGGGCTCCGGTTTGAAGGCGTTCATTCTGCAGTTCGAGGTACACGGTTTCGGTTCCGCCTTGAACGGTAATGGAGAAAACCTCTTCCCCGCCGTGCTCGGCTGGGCCTGGGTCTGCGTCTTCTTTGGGGCGGGATCCGCAGTGAACTCGTTGGCGCTGCTACCGACTCCCTTCTGCTTGGCTCTGCCGGGCTCGGGGGGCCCGGGGCCGGCCTCCCGCCCCTCCTGGCCCCGCCGGTTCTCCTTCTCAATCTCCTCCAGCAGCAGCAGCGGCTCGGCGGACGGCCCATACTCCCGGATGACCTTCTCCACCGTGTCCTGCGAGTAGCCCATGGTCCGGAAGAAGTTCACCAGGATGTTGTGCTCCATCTCCTCGCTGGTGTCCTTCCCGTCGGGGCTGGCCCCGTCCGGCTCGCCGGGGGCCTCGGACAGGTCGATGAGGTCGGCCCCGGCGTCCGCCTCGGCGGCGTCCGCCTCCCCGCCGGGCGCCGGCTCGCCCCCCTCGCCGCTCTCCGGGGAGAACTGCTTCTTGGAGTGCCGCTCCTCGGAGTCGGAGGATCGCCGCTTGTGGCGCGCCCGGCCCGGGCCCGGCTCGTCCTCGGGGGCCAGGCCGTTGACGGGGAGGAAGGGCGGGTCCGGCGAGCTGGAGAACACGGTGTCCATCTGCCTCGTGAGCTCGGACACGGGCGTCCCGGCCCCGCTCCTCGCCTCCTCGCGGGGGGCCGCCCCGTCGCCGCCGCCGCCCGGGCCCGCGGTGGGCGCGGGCTCGCCGGGCTCGGCGCCCCCGGCCTCGCTCAGGGCGTCCTCGCCCAGCGTGAGCGCCAGCAGCGCCCGCTTCAGTGCCGAGGGCAGCAGCAGCAGGTCCATGGTGTAGCTGTCGGCGTGCGCCTCCACGAAGCGCCGGAATTCCCGCTTGACCTCCGCCTCCCGCCGGCCGCCCGGCGGGTCCTCGTGGCCCTCGAAGAGCTTCACGAACTGCTGCACGTGGCTGCGGGCCATGACCACGGCCTCGGCGCTGCCGCGGACGCCCAGCAGCCCCACGTCCAGCACGCAGAGGTCGGCGCACGTGTCCCGGATCAGGCTCCTGAGGAACAGGCCGCGGGCGCCCACCAGGACGCAGTGCATGGCCTTGGGGTAGTGCTCCCGCTCCTCCAGCTCCGGCTCGCACACGCCTTTGATGTACTCCTGCAAGAGAGGGCAGGCAGCTCAGCCCGGCCGTGGGGGAGGCGGCTGGAGCGGGGCGGGGCGGGGCGGGGGCGAGGCTGTGACAGCCTGGCCCAGGGGCTGAGCGTCGACATAGGAGCCAGGAGGTCACAGTTCGATTCCCAGTCAGGGCACAGGCCCGGGGTTCGGGCTTGATTCCCCGTGGGGGCGGGGCGTGCAGAGGGCAGCCGGTCCATGATTCTCTCTTGTCACGGATGTTTCTCTCTCTCTCTCTCTCTCTCCCTTCCTCTATGAAATCAGTAAAAATATATATATCTTTTACAGAAACAGCCGTAGATTGTCTAAGATTAGGTAACTGTTGAACAAGCAGCTAAAACCAGGAGAGCGGAGTTGCCCCAGAGGTTGGGGGGCACAGGAACCCCGGAGCCCCTGACCGCTTGTCTGAGCCGGGGCACACCTCCTCATGTTAACAGGAAGTGATCAAGGAGGCGTGTGGCGTGCCCCAAGCTGCCGTGGTGACAGCTGGCCCTCGTCCTGCACGCATTGGAGAGAGGAAGCCCAATGGTTAGGGAATACGGAGGGATGCGTCCTTGGAACAATTCTTTCTGTTATTCCTGTTGCTTTTCTGGATTCTGCCGGAAGAACCGCCCCAAGACCGGCTCACCTGTGGCTGCTGAGCCGCACCACGCAGGGTGCCCCACCCCCACACGGCCCCAGACAACGCAGACCCACGCCGGCCGCCGAGTCAGACAGGCAGCGGCCCAGGTCAGCGAAAAACCCCGACTCTGAGTTTAAAAAAAAAAAAAAAAAAAGGCTTTATTTTTTAAAGCAGCGTTAGGTTCAGGGCAGAACTGAGCAGGTAGGGCTTTCCCACAAGCACCTTTAAAAACCACCAGCACCGCAGCCCCGGCTTCCAGCACCGCAGTCCACGGACTCACAGAAGCCGCCCTAAGCTGCCGATCGGACCCGCGATTCCCAACAGACCGATGCGCTGCCCGGGCCCCTCCGGGGCCTCCGATGCTGCTCAGGTTGTTGTCTTTCGGAGGAAACACAATCATAATCACGTCCACGGAGCAGAACCGTCGGCGTTGCCCCTGGCAACCAGAGCTATGGCTGCCATGCCAGCTGCAGAGGTGTTGTGTGTGTGTGTGTGTGCGTGTTTTAACATGTTTTTATTGACTTTGTCAGAGAGAGAGGAGAACCTGGGACCCTTCAGTCCGAAGGCGGACCCTCTAACCACCGAGCCACTGGCCAGGGCGGCACAGTTGTGAGGAAGAGCTGTGCGTCTGTGCGTGTGTGTGTGTGTGTGTGTGTGTGCGCGTGTGTGTGTGTGTGTGTGTGTTCGCGCGCACAGGAGTAATTTGTCCCTTGAGAATTAATGTTTTCATTAATAATTGACTCCGAGGATTACTAAGTAACAACAATCGATTGTTACACTCCGGGTCAGAGGTCGGCAGTGAAGTGCCCAGTAGTCCTCCGTTCTCTGTGGACCCAAACAGCCATCATTTGCCTTTGGCTGTGTTTGCTCTCTGAACATTTGAATGGTAGTCACAAACTGTCCCCCATCCTGCAGTGTCCGCTGTGTTTTTAAGGAATCTTGGTTGTTGAGAGTGTTACCTGTGTCCCCTCTTTCCCCACTGACCTCTTCCAGCCCCGCCCCCCGGCTCTCACCACCTGCTGCCTGTGTCCATGGCTATTGTTGTTGTTGTTTTTAAAATTGGTTTTAGGGAAAGAAAGGGAGGGAGAGAGAGAGAAACACTGATCGGTCGCCTCCCATCAGAGATTGAACCCGAAACCTGGGCGTGTGCGGGGCCGGGAACAGAGCCCCGCCCTGAGCCACACGGCCCGCGGCTTCCTGGCTTCCTGTGGCTTCCATTGCCCGGGCTCTTAAGAAATCAGAGGGGCATGTAACACATATAACAACCCCCCTCAGCGCCCCCCCTCACACAGCCACCGGCGCCGGCCCTCCGCTCCCCTCCAGCCGGCCCTTCCCCCGCGGAAACTTCCTCTGCTCCCGCTGCCTCGGAGCGGGGTTCGAGACCCTCAGGCCGCACTCAGGCCTCCGCGGTTCCCATTCTAACTGCTGCTGGTTCCCACAGCTGCTCTGACCTTGCCCTCCCTCCCTCCCTCCCTCCCACCGGGTCCCCAAACACATGCCATGGGAGGCGGGCAGCCGGGGGGGAGGCGGGCGGCCGGGGGGGGGGGGCGGGCGGCCGGGGGGGGGGCGGGCGGCCGGGGGGGGGGCGGGCGGGCAGCCGGGGGGGGGGACGCTCATCTGCTTTCTGCCCACCGCGGTGGCATCCACCACCTTCACCCGGCAGTGGGCCTGCCTGGCCCACGTGACGTGGGTCCTGAGCAGGGAGGTCTGCTCTGCGGGGGGGGGGGGGGGACGACGACGGGTGCAGGGGGGTCGGCAGTGCCAGGGCACAGCTGAGCGGGTGCTCCTGGCACCTCAGGGCAGGGCATGCCCGGCACAGCCCCCACCACCACGGGCCTCTGACGGAGGCGGGGGCAGAGCCGTGCCGGGAAAGCCTGGCCATTATTCACACACGTCGAGGCAGGAACTGAAAGTGTGGGGACTGCCGGTGCCCTGTCAGCAGCGCTGCCCCGTAGACGGAATAACAAGGGAAGCGGCGTGGAGACACAGCGGCCTCGCTCAGCCCGGCGCCGTGGGAGAGGGCTGAGGTGACAGGGGTGGGAGTCGCACCGTTCAGAGCCGCTACCTAATCCCCCTGAAGGGGCAGGAGGGCGCCTGCCAGCCCGGAGCGCTCCCCTGCCCGCCCACGGTGACGCCCACAGTCAGACAACGTGGTGCCCAGGAAACGATGTCTGACTCACCGCTCGCTGGTGGTTTGGGCCGGGACTTCGATGCTACGTGCTAAAGCGTGGGCGTTTGTCCAGCGAGAGGCCAGGACCTCAGTCTGCTGGGAGAGACGGCCCCACAGGTTATGGCTTCACCGTCTGCCAGAACCAGCCAATCCTGTCTAACAAAAGGCCAATGTGCAAACTGACCGAATGGCAGAACGACCGGTCACTATGACAAGCACTGACCACCAGGGCGGCGCAGAAGCTCCACACAGGAGCTGCCCCCTGGAGGCCAGAGTGCTCCCACAGGGGGCGCCGCTCAGCCAGACGCCCTGAGCCTCTCCCCCTCCCCCTCCCCCCCACAGCAGTGCTGAGGATGTCTGACTGCCGGCTTAGGCCGCTCCCCGGACAGCCCCGAGGCTCCACGGCTGAGGCCCTCGGCGCCCTGCAGCCCCAGCACGCTGCATGTTGGCTCCAGAGCGCATCCCAGCGGAAAGAGAGGCTCCGGTGCGCCTTCCTTCCCGCTGCTCTGTGCTTGCTGTGTGCCGTTTCCTGGCTCGGGGACGGGGCGGGATGGGGGGGGGGGGGCCAGTCTCCATTCTGCCCAGGCTGCAGGGATCTGACTGTGGATCCGGCTGGCAGGGAACCGGGGCTGGCTCTCCGCTGAGCGGGCGCCATCCCAGGACCGTGAGGGAAGCCTCTCAGTGGGGAGCACCGGCCGGCCGTGCTTTGGGAATGGGGGTGCAGGGGAAGGGGTGCAGGGGGGGGGGTTACGTTTGACAGAGGCTGAGGCTGGGAACAGAGAAAGCCGTGGCTTCTGTCTGGAGGCCAGAAAAGCCTCTACTGCTCACAGCCAGCGGGAATGCTTCCAGCTCCAGGGATGGCAATGAGTTTGGTTCCAACGTTTCTTCTCTTTAAAAAAATATACTGTATTGACTTTTTACAGAGAGGAAGGGAAAGGGATAGAGAGTTAGAAACATCCGTCAGCTGTCTCCTGCACGCCCCCTACTGGGAATGTAACCAAGGTACCTGCCCTTGACCGGAATCGAACCCGGGACCCTTGAGCCCGCAGGCCGATGCTCTATCCATTGAGCCACACGGGCCAGGGCACGAAGTTTCTTAAAGAAGCTCGGTTCTAACAGGCTTATAGCGAACAAGCCTCGCCTGACTGTGTGTCCTGGACCTCGCAGCAAAGAAACCATGCAGCCGCGCTGGCAGCGCCGGGAACCCCGACTGTCAGCCCGGACGAGCCGAACTCCCTGACGTGCGAGGGACCCCTTCAAACAACAGAGAAAAGGAACAGCGCCGTTTCTTTAACCGGAGGCTTCCCCGCGTGCTCCCACAGGACTCGCCTCGGTTACAGGAAGGCCTTTCGTTAATTACATAAGGACCCCCCCCATTTTGTTCTTGGACTGCAGAACCGCTAACTGCACACGATGCCACCACTCAGTGCCGAGCGGCTGGGGCAGGCAGCCCCCCTGGATCGGACGCGAGCGGGTGAGCGAGAGGGAAGGAAACCAGTGGTGGGCAGTCGCCGCCCTCCCCCCCAAACTCAGGGTGAGCACCCCGCATTCCCACAGGCCGGTACAACCCCACAGGACCGACCCACACAGGGCTGAGGCAGCCCCCACAGGACGGGCTGGCACAGGGCTGAGGCAGCCCCCACAGGACCGGCCCGCACAGGGCTGAGCCAATCCCCACAGGACCGGCCCGCACAGGGCTGAGGCAGCCCCCACAGGACCGGCCCGCACAGGGCTGAGCCAGCCCCCACAGGACCGGCCCGCACAGGGCTGAGGCAGCCCCCACAGGACCGGCCCGCACAGGGCTGAGCCAATCCCCACAGGACCGGCCCGCACAGGGCTGAGCCAGCCCCCACAGGACCAGCCCGCACAGGGCTGAGCCAGCCCCCACAGGACCGGCCCGCACAGGGCTGAGCCAGCCACCACAGGACCGGCCCGCACAGGGCTGAGGCAGCCCCCACAGGACCGGCCCGCACAGGGCTGAGGCAGCCCCCACAGGACCGGCCCGCACAGGGCTGAGCCAATCCCCACAGGACCGGCCCGCACAGGGCTGAGCCAATCCCCACAGGACCGGCCCGCACAGGGCTGAGGCAGCCCCCACAGGACGGGCTGGCACAGGGCTGAGCCAATCCCCACAGGACTGGCCCGCACAGGGCTGAGCCAGCCCCCACAGGACCGGCCCGCACAGGGCTGAGGCAGCCCCCACAGGACTGGCCCGCACAGGGCTGAGCCAATCCCCACAGGACCGGCCCCCCTCCAGCTCGGCGGTTCCTGGAAGTGCAGGGGCCGCCGCCTCCTTCTGGTAAAGTCAAAACAAAAGCCCGACGCCGCCACCCAGTGTGACAGCGACCATTTCCCGGTGCATCCACTGTTCAAGAACCCATTCAGGAAACCAGGGACCAAAAAAAAAAAGAATTAAAAAGTCAACCAAAAAGGCACAACAAACAGGGAAGCTCAGAACTCAGAGCTGGTGACGGACAGGCCCAGCCCCCCAGCCCCTCTCCTCCTCCGTGTTCTCCACACGCTAGTCGTGCGTTCCCAGTGCAGCCATGTTGGGGGTGCCCCGAACTCCTCCCACAGCCCCCCGCATGCACCCCCAAACCCCCGGACTTCCTGAGACAGGCCCCCCGGTGCCCTCCTCCCCAGAGGAAGCCCACGGCCCCCCACTCCTCCCTCTCCCACCTCCGAACTGAGCCCCCCACCCCAGGCCGCCAAGAGCCGAAGCTGGCCCCCCGGACCCGTCGCTTAGCACAGCTGATGTTCTTCGTAAGGAGCGTGTAGCTGATCAGACGTCACTGGGCCACTTGGACGGGTCCCTGGCTGGTAAGAAGCCTGGCACTTGCCCTCCCGCCCCGCCCACCGCCAGCACCGCCCCATGGCCCCTGGCCCGAGAAACATCGCCATTGGTGCCTCTGACCTGGAGCAAAGCTCAAACCCTTCCCACTGGCCGGGCTGAGTTCCCCCAGCTCCTTCCTCCCCACGGCCCGGCCCCGGGCCCCTCCTGCTCTGCACCTTCCATCCCAGGAACCAGGCCTGGACGCCGCACCGCGCAGGCACCTCCACTTCCTCTGGGTGTGCGTCCACGGCATCTTCGCCGGCACGTCTGCCTGCCCCCCACGGCCCGTGGACAATGCCCGCCGCGTCCCTCACGCCCGGCCCGGCCTCGGCCCCCCAGCGATGTAGCGTGCTACCCAGGAGGCTCGACCCTCTCCCGTTCACAGCACCCCAGCCAGCCAGCAGGGCGGGACGCGGGCGACGGGCCTTTCCTTGGGAATGTCAGGGGCCCTCCAGACCTCTCCATGCTCCTCAGTGGGCTCCAGGCCATACCCCGCCCTCCCAAGCAGGCCTATGAGGAGCCGCAGGCTGGCATCCTGGTGTGATTTGCCCTCGCTCTTCAGAGGGCTCTCTCGCTCGCGCTCACCCCTGTGCCCTGCTGGGCAGAACCGGCTCCCTGTCTGCTGTCTGTCACTGTATGTCACCGTACGTCGGTGGTCATGTGAGCCACACTGTCCGGTTTGCTTCCCAGTGTGTGTCGTCCGCCCCCCCCACCCCCTTAGCTGAGGGCCCTGAGGTCAAGAGGCAACAGTGAGTGCATTTCTTGGCACATTTCCTTTATTTATTTTATTTTTAAAGTATGTTTTTATTGATTTCAAAGAGGAGGGGGGGGGGAGAGAGAGAGAGAAAGAGAGAGACATTAATGATGAGAATCATCCATCAGCTGCCTCCTGCATGTCCTCACACTGGGGATCAGGTTCACAACCCGGGCCTGTGCCCTGACCGGGAATCGAACCGTGACCTCCTGGTTCACAGGTGGACGCTCAGCCCCTGTTGAGGCCGGCCGGGCTGGACACTTCTTAAATGTCAGCTGCTCAGCCCACCGAGCACCAGGCAGGCAAGGCGCCCACCATGGCTTCTGACCCCAGGGTGTCCTCTATCAGGTCCCAGCGAACACCGCCCCCCCACAGCCGGGCTGCTTGCCTTCAAACACAGATCTCAGGCAGGCCTGCCCGTGCGAACCCTCCGACCCCCTAAAGAACGAGCCCGCGGCCGGCTCCCCAAGACTCCCCGAGACCCGCCGCCGCCCACCGCGATTCGGCCCCCAGCCCGGCCCCTGGGTCTCCCAGGCTCTTCACACCCAGTGAGCCACTTCCTCCAGGCGCGTCCCTCTGACCACGGGGCCGCGCGCCTGCGCCTGGGCGACCTCCCAGGGCACGCTGGCCACCCTCCCCTCTTCCCTCCAGTCCCCGGGCCCGGTAACCGCCTCTCCATCTGCCCTCGGCCTGTGCTGACCGGACCGGGGATGGACCCTCTAACAGCCACTGGACGCGCCCAGGAGGGCGCCCGCAGCTCGGGGGGCCGGCACCCAGCCTCACACCGGGGTCCCCCGCCCTCTGACCCCACCTTATCCTCCTGGCGAAACATGCGGATGCTGCCGTCTGCTTTCCTGTTCTCGACTTTAAAAACCAAGCGAATGGCTTTCTCTCCCTCAGAGGAATGTGAGACAAACTGCAAAGCCCTCAGGGTGGCATCAGCTGGGGGGGGAACAAACCAGAGGGTTTTGGGGAAGGGGGGTGGGACCGTGAGAAATGCCCTTCAGAGATGAGCGGGCCTTTTCCCGAGTGCTCAGGCCAGGGGTGCGGCGGGGACAGCAAGGGGACGGGGCGATGGGGGGGGGGGGTTAGGGGGGTGTATGGCGAAGGGGGCAGCCAGTTTTCCCCTGTGGAGCCCGAGAAGCACATCCCGGGCTGGGCTGAGTCCAGAGTCAGGCCGACCTGGGGCGGGCACCGGAGCGGGCGGCGTGAGGTTGCCCAGGGGTGAAGTGTAGCTCGGAGGAGGGCTCAGAGGGAGGGAGACAGGCAGTGGGGGCCCTAGGAGGCCCCGGGCGGAGAGGGGCTTTTGTGAGGGCTGCCCGGGAAGAGGGGCAGGGGGGGCCATGATGGAGGGGGGGGTGATCTGCAGCGAAGGCGGGGAAGGGGAGGGGGCGCAGGCGGCCGGCTCTCCTCGGGAACCAGGCTCCCTCCGGCCAGCCTCTCGCCCAGGGCCTGGAGGCGCGGGCCAGCTGTGCGGAAGTCAGCGGAAGGCGGGACAGGGAAGAGCAGGGGGCAGGCCTGCAGACACCGGAGCGGCCGGAGGGATGTGCAGGGAGGCGATCGCTCCCCCCCGGGCGTGCTGGGAGCCCGGGCCCCGGCTTTTACACTGGGGTCAGGGGCAGCGAGGCCTCAGGCCCCACGGCGTTTCTGAAGCCCGGGCGAGGGGCTCCCCGAGGCTCCCCATGCGGGAGGCAGGGTCCCGGAAGCGAACTGCGGACAGGCCTGGAGCAGCTGGCGGTGGGGAGGCGGGGGGCGCCTGGGGCCTGCGGAGGGAGGGGCGCCTCCGGAGGTGCAGGACCAGATCGCTGACCCAGAAGGTGAGTCACCTCCTCAGGAGTTTCAGTTTCCCCAGCTGAGCGTTTAGAGAGGAGGAGGAGGAAAACCAAGTCACCGCTGGACTCCAGGTCCGCTGCACCCGCAGCCAGGGGCTGGTACCGAGCGCGGGGTGCTGGTACCGAGCGCGGGGTGCTGGTACCGAGCGCGGGGTGCTGGTACCGAGCTCGGAGTGCTGGTACCGAGCGCGGGGTGCTGGTACCGAACTCGGAGTGCTGGTACCGTGCTCAGAGTGCTGGTACCGAGCTCAGAGTGCTGGTACCGAGCTCGGAGTGCTGGTACCGAGCGCGGGGTGCTGGTACCGAGCTCGGAGAGCTGGTACCGAGCTCGGAGTGCTGGTACTGAGCGCGGGGTGCTGGTACCGAGCTCGGAGAGCTGGTACTGAGCGCGGGGTGCTGGTACCGAGCTCGGAGAGCTGGTACTGAGCGCGGGGTGCTGGTACCGAGCTCGGAGAGCTGGTACTGAGCGCGATGGGCTGTGCGAACCGGCAGTGAACCAAGTCCTTCTCACACCACAAGACACGACGCTACCTCTAAACGTCACCATCCAACACCCCGTCTCTCTGGACGCTCCTCAGTCAGACCCTCAAAGGGACTGAACCCCAAAAGGCCCAGCCCCGCGCACCCGGGGCGGGAGCCACGGCCCGGGGCAGCGCGCGGCCCGCACAGCCCAGGCAGGTGGGCCCTCCTCAGCGGCGGCACAGACGGGAAACTGAGGCCCGGGAGGAAGCCGCTAGCCGAGGTCACATGGCCCGGGGGCGGAACACGGGCCGGCGGCTCCGGACACGGCGCTTTAGCCCGCGCGCGGGTCCCGGGGCGGAGGGGCGCCGGGCCGGACCGCGGGTCCGGGGCGGAGGGGCGCCGGCCCGGGGCACTCACCTTGGCGCTGTGCACCGCCTCCTGCGCGCCCCGCAGCTGCAGCCAGATGCGCGCGGGCAGCGGCTCCTCGGCGCCCAGCGCGCCCAGCACGGCCAGGCCCACGCCGAACAGGCCCTCGATGCGGCTGCGGCTCCGCTCCAGCAGCGCCGCCTTCTCCGCGGGCGCCGTGAACTCGTCCAGCACCGGCCGGGCCGCCATGGCGGCGCGGCCTCCGCGGGCCCGGCCGGGTCGGGCGGCCTCCCCTGCGCGCGGCCTGGCCCTCCGCGCCCCGCCCGCAGGCCCGGCTACTCCATGGCGGCCGCGGAGGGAGCGCCTCCGCCCCTCGTCGCCGTCGCCGCGCCGCCGCGCATGCGCCCCGCGCCGCCCGGGCTCGGCGCGCGCGGGGGGCGGGGCCCGGCGACCGGAGGCGACGTCACCGCGGCGCCACGTCCGTTTTTGCGGGCAGAGCCGGGCGCGGGGGGACGCCTGGGGGCTGCAGCCAGAGGCGCGCGGGCAGCGGCTCCCCGAACCCCAAAAGAGCCCCACCCTCGAGCACAGAGCAGTGCCCGCATGCACCCCGAAAGGGAGCGGGGCCTCGATGCTCCCGGGAGGCCCAGGTTCGACTCCCGGGCAGCGCACAGGCCCGGGTGGCGGGCTCCATCCCCAGGGCGGGGCGTGCAGGAGGCAGCGGATCCAGGATTCTCTCTCATCATCGATGTTTCTCTCCCTCTCCCTCTCCCTCCCGCTCTGCCACCCATCTTATAGATACGGGAACAGAAGAAAGCACTGGCAGTAGTAAGTACAGAGAGTTGGAAAGCAGACTTGGTTAAGGAGATCCAGGAGCACGCTTTGTTCGGGGAGCGGAGGGGAGGATGTGTTGGAGGAGAGGGACGGGAAGGCACAGGCAGCGGGGGTCAGGGACTTGGGCCAGGACACCCTGAGCCCTCCCCCGTTCCGTTCTCCGTCTGCGAACCCAGGCTGTCCCCGCGGATCTCGGAAGCCTCGCCCACGCCTCGGCCTGCTCAGAGTCCATGGGACAGAGCCTGGGCTCCCCTGTCCGGCTACCTGTGGCCGACGGAGCAGACAGGCCTGCATTCCTCATCTGTGAGCTGTGGTTAGCCGGCTCACTTCCTACTGTTGTGAAAGTTAGTGCAGTCTCTGGGAATCAGTGAAGAAATAAAACGGAATCACTGTCGCCAAGCAGTTCAATTACTAAGACCTGGGTGTGTTTTTGTTTTTGTTTCTTTGCTTTAATTATTTTTAAAATATATATCTATTGATTTCAGAGAGGAAGAGAGAGGGAAAGCGAGAGAGAAACATCAATGATGAGAGGATCATTGATTGGCTGCCTCCTCCTGGGGATCACGCCTGCAATCTAGCCTTGTGCCCTGGACCAGAGTCGAACCAACCTGGGACCCTTCAGTCAGAGGGCTGATGCTCTGTCCACTGAGCCACACCAGCCAGGGCTGAGATCATTTGTTTTTTTTGTTTTGTTTTGTTTTTTTAGTTCAGCCCAGAAAGAATTCAGAGCAAGGGATCTGGTGGGTTGAGAGAACAGTTCAACTCCTGCTCTACCTGGCTCTGGGTCGCCAACACCTGAACCGTCCAGTCCCTGCAGTCCCGAGTTAATGCCCGAATACACGGCAGGCCTCCGGACGGCACCTCTGGTGACGCCCTGAGGACTAAGGAAAGGGGGTTCGTGCACGGAGGCCCAGCTGTTCAGAGAGAGGCCATCTCAGACCAGCCCAGAGGCAGCCTGCGGCCCCCAGTCTCCTTAAGAATGTCCGTTTTTATTGTTCGAACCCTCCGCTTCCGAACACGCTGGGCCTTCCCTGGCTGCGTTTCCCGTTTGCAAACCCTGAGGCTCCCGGGCAAATCTTTTCCCCTCATTTCCAGCCGATTCCTGCACGCCCCGTCACCAATACCTGGCCGCAGCCAGCGATGACTAAACGTGAGCTGTCATGATCAGCCGCACACGGAAGGCTCCATTATCACGGAGAGGCCTGGGGCGGCTGATGCAACCGCCCTGAACCTGTGGGCCGGGGAGCCCCCTCCCGCTGTGTCCCCTTCCCCCCTACCGTCCCCCCGGAGAAACAGGAGGGGAGCTAACGGTGTGGCCGCTGGAAATGCCGGGGGGGAATGGAGAGGGGTTACCCGAGGTCAGACCTCTCAGGGATGCCGGCCTGGGGTTTTCCGTGAGCCTCAGAGACCCAGGCAGGTGTGGTCCCCGGTGCCTGCCCAGGGTGACTCAGCCTCGGGAAGAGAGCCTTCAGGACCAGCTGTTTCCTGCCCCCCTCAGCTGGCTGACCTGAGGCTGGCTGAGGCGGTTCAGGTGGGGAGCCTGGCCTGGCTGACAGGGTGCACCGGGTTCCACCACAGGACAGGTTACTGCCTGCCTCCCCGCTGCCCTGCCTCAGACGGAGCTGTGATGGCTGTGTGATGGGCCAGGGCTCCCCGAGGGCCAGTGCTAATTGCTTCATTGCAGGGGGTGAGGGGAGGCTGCCTTGCAAAGCACACAACTGGCCCTACCCTCCACTCTCCACCCCCAAAAGAACCTCACCCTCGCCCTGGCCCGTTTGGCTCATTGGACGGAGCATCCCCATCCTCGCCCTGGCCCGTTTGGCTCATTGGACGGAGCGTCGACCTCCAGACTCAAGGAACCTCCAGACTCAAGGGTCCCAGGTTCGATTCCGGTCAAGGGCATGTGCCTTGGTTGCAGGCACATCCCCAATAGGGGGTGTGCAGGAGGCAGCTGATGGATGTTTCTCTTTCATCGATGTTTCTAACTCTCTCTCCCTCTCCCTTCTTCTCTGTAAAAAAATATTAAAATATATTAAAAAAAAAAAAAAAAAGAACCCCACCCTCAAGCAACAAAGTAGCGCCTGCATACACCCCAAAAGGAAGCTGGACCTCGGCGCTGCACTCACAAGCAGACAGAGACGCGGGGTTTTTCCTCTGCCAAGGAGACGTGCCAGTTCGTATCTGGTCAGCATTTCCCTTTAGGAAACTCTCAAGGTTTCCTGAGTAAAGGGAACAGGGGAGAAGGGGAAATAGAGAAATCCCCTTTTAAGAAACTCCCTTGCTTCATGCAATTGCGAAACCTCAACTTCCCTCGGGGCGGCCTCCCCGGCCCACGACGGCCCTGGCTGCCAGGGATGGCTGCTCCGCGGAGTCTGATCTCCATAGCAACCCGTGAGCCGGCGTGGAGGTGACGGGGGCAGAAAGAGGATGCGGGGACCCGCTGTCATTGTAGCAAGTACCGACCAGGCTCTGTCTCTGCTCCGATGGAGGAAGGCACATTCTGACCTGGCGGGGACTGGCACCCGGGACCTGGGGGCTCACCCAGAAACGCAGATTTTCGCGGGAAAATGAACCACCTTGTGGCAGAAACCAGAATGGCCAGCCCTTTGCACACCCCCAGCGTTTTGCACACACGAGCCTTTGCACACACACAGGCCTTTGCACACCCCAGCCCTTTGCAAATACCTGTAAGTGCCCGGGTGGCCTCCCTCCCCCATGTAACTTTGTGCTTCTCCCAATAGAAGCAGCGGGCTTAGGATTCAATCCCAGGACTCAACCCTGTGGGCTCCATCCTGACTGGCAGCCCGGACCCCTGCGTGTCCGGGTTCAGAGGGAGTCATTTCCTCCTCCTCCTGTTTCCATGGGGAGGGGGGTTCTGAGGCCTGGTCTCCGCACGGCCTGGTCCCATCGCCTCCCACGCACTTCCCCAGGACTGACAAGCGACTTTCCCCAAAGGCTGGGTGCCGGTGCTCCCCCCGCCGTCTGCGGCGGCTCTGTGTCCCTGGGCGGCTGTGAGCGGCGTTGTCACCTCAACCACATCCTGGGGTCCGGCCCGGTGGCCTTGGAAGTGGCGTGCTGGCCTCTGCCTGTCTGGCGCCCGCTTTTACTTCCTGTTCTGAAAGCCGAGGGGCTGGGGGGGGGGGGGTGCTGCTCAGGCCTCCGAGAGCTCCAGGGGTGGTGGCTGCTATTACACTCCCGTGTCAACCCCGAGGCAGCAGAAGCACAGAGAGGTTCTGGAACGTTCCACAGACCTGGCAAAGGCAGCCGTAGGAACAGGCATGTGTGTCCAGATGCTATGACGAAAACCCTTTCTGAGCAGCCAGCCTGCTTGTCTGCCCTTTTGCAAAGTGGCGGGGGGAGGCCATATGTCCTCACCACCGGCCCCTAGTGCTGGGGCCTGCTGGCCTGCCGATGCTGTCACAACAGATGGACCTGCCTGGCCGGCGTGGCCCCGTGGCTGACGTCAACCTATGAACCAGGAGGTCAGGGTTCAGTTCCCGGTCAGGGCACAGGCCGGGTTGTGGGCTCCATCCCCAGGTGAGGGTATGCAGGAGGCAGCCAATCCACGATTCTCTCTTCATCATTGGTGTTTCTCTCCCTCCCTTCCTCTATGAAAAAAATAAAAAAATTAAAACTAAACAAAAAAGCAGACGGACGTGCACACGCGATGTTGCTCACACACCCACCCGATCTGATAGACCGGCTCGGACACGTTCAGGGCGGCGCGTCTCCCGGACTTCCCTGTCGGTGACATCTCGGCTTTAGAGGAAGGAACCGGGATCCAGCCGTGCCCCGGCCGCTTGCACGTTTCCGCGCATTTGCAGACTGTTCGGTCTCCAGCTCCCGGGTCACCCGCCCACGCTACCATCCCCTCTCCCTTGGACGGCAGTGGGGTACCCCCCACCCTTCTCTCTGGCCTCACTCTGCCTTGCGGGCGCCGCAGCTGCTCTGAGGTCGGAGCCAGAGCCAGCCCCTCCCGGCCATCCCACCAGGCCAGCGCGGGCCCGAGACCCCCAGGGAGCTTCTGCTTAGGCCCGAATAGAACCCCTGTTCTCCGCCTGGCCAGGGGTGTCTGCTCACGCTGTCCCCCACCTCCTGCTTTCCATCCACTTCCTTCACTCCTGCTCATCCATCACATCCCAGTGAAGAGGGACGTATCCCCAGAGTCCTTCCCTGTGAGGAGTCAAATCACCTGTCACAGGTTCGGGGTGTGTGTGTGTGTGTGTGTGTGTGTGTGGAGGGGGTGTGGGGGGGCTGTCACTCACAGCACTGGGGCCAGCTTTGCATGTTTGCGTGACATGATTGCTTGTGTCCATCCCAGTTATCATCAGACCGGCAGCCCCTGCGAGCAGTGACCTGAGGCTGGGTGGAGCCTGAAGTGTGTGTGTGTGTGTGTGTGTGTGTGTGTGTGCGCGCGC